TATGTGGTGAACAACCCTGTATAAATGTATTGAATATATTGAATTTTCTATAGAAGAGCCAATTAAGGTAAATTCATTTTCTTCACTTCCGATGACAGATTTCTGCCTACTTTGTTAAACCGCTCCACAGGGTGTTTCAAACTTTCTCTTAATTAACAACACTTGTTTTTCCTGGTATAATAATTGACAGATGGAAAATGTCATTTTAAATTTAGAAAGAGATACGAAAAAGTCAAATAATTTAGCTAAAAATTACTTAAAAAATCATCAAAATCGGTCAACCAGAACAAACTATACCGGGTACGTCTCCAAAGTGGCTCACCCCCTATAACTTTTTTATTTTTTCAGATAAACGAAAAAGTCAAATAATTTAGCTAAAAATTACTTAAAAAATCATCAAAATCGGTCAACCAGAACAAACTATACCGGGTACGTCTCCAAAGTGGCTCACCCCCTATAACTTTTTTATTTTTTCAGATAAACGAAAAAGTCAAATAATTTAGCTAAAAATTACTTAAAAAATCATCAAAATCGGTCAACCAGAACAAACTATACCGGGTACGTCTCCAAAGTGACTCACCCCCTATAACTTTTTTATTTTTTCAGATAAAACAACGAGATTTGGTATCTATTTGGAGATTGGTTAGTATAATATGACATAAATTAGGATTGATTAACGTATTCAATTGTTGATTTGTAAATGGCACCCTAGGCTTTTGGTTACTTTATTCGACAGAAAATTACACTCTGAATAGAGACATAACATATGTCAACTTTTGACATTTTCGCATATGGTTTATTTGAAATTGTAACCTGCGGTTCGTAAAGAAAATTTGACTCGAAATACCGAGTGTGTGGTATCAAATTATTCGAAAAAAAAATGTTTTTTCCAAATATACCAATGAGCCACCTTCGATCCATTTGAAAAAATTGAGATATGATTAAAAATACGATTTGGGTATCTTTTAACTGAGCAGGACAAGACACTAAAAACATTAGACGATCAAATCTATTTTTCCAAGGCTCCTTGATTTAAAATTAGTGTTTTTAACACAGCCATGGCACTCTAGATTGAAATTTAAAGTACAATTTGTTTTTGAGCAAATATGTCAAAAGTTGACATATGATATGTCATTCGATTCAGAGTGTCATTTTCTATCGAATAAAGTAAAAAAATACCGAGGGTGCCATTTAAAAATCAAAAGTTATAGTCATTTCCGGTGAACCAGGAAGTGACAGAAAACAATTGAATGAGTCAATCAATCCTAATTTATGTCATACACAAACATACCAAATCTCGTTTTCTTTTTTATCTGAAAAAATAAAAAAGTTATAGGGGCGAGCCACTTTTGAGACGCACCCGGTATAAAATTTTAAAATACATCAAAATTTTAAGGTGCCAGTTTTTCGTGCCGATGAGTGTATTTAAGTACATTAAAAAAATTAATTAATAGGGATATAAAAACTCTCAAGAAAATAGAAATATAAACAAGGATAGAATATAACATACCTGTAAATCACAGTTTCCTATATCCAAAAATATCAAACTATTAGAACAATATATTGATATTAAAGTGATTATTTTTAAATCATTGACAATAATTATGAACTTCACATAATTTATGTTTAAACTCTTCTAATCAAATATTAAATTCAAAGCTCTGTTTCACAAATTACTGAGTAATAAAGACAATTAAACAAATCCTTACACAATATTACGCAAAAAATCAATTATTTTTTTCGGATTTTGCACATAAAAAACGAGAATTACTCTACTAACCACATGAATCAAATGACAATAAAACCATAGAAATTGAAGTGCATTTTATGTTATCAATCAAATTTTAGAAAAAAAAAACAGATAACAATACCTATTATTATTGATATGTATCTGAATTCAAGATTTGAATTTTTACATTTTTTTAAATTAATTTATTCTTATCTAGACGCATACATTCACAATTATTTTTTTTTGTGATAGGAAATAATCTATATCTATACTAATATACAGGGTGAGTTTCCTACGATGTTCTCTATGGGTATCTCGGAAACTACTGGAGATAGAGAGTCGGTTAAATGGGGAAAGAATTGCAGTTTTGTGGGGTCATAAATATGCGCCTTTCAGATTTTTGAAAAAGTTCATGGCTGACTAGATATTTCGAAAAAAACAAATTTCGGCTATTTTAAAAATTGTCCCTAACTCCATTATAAGCTGTTTTAGACAAAAAGTTTTCAGATAAAAGTTGTAGATAATCACATCCTTAATGAGACTGTGTTCTTCGTTTTCTTCTAAAGCCTGTCATTTTTGACATAAGGCGGTACTTCTTTTGGATAACGCTCCGTCTCATCCACCTGCAGCAGATTTAAAATCTAGTGATGGTATGATCTTTGTAATGTTGTAATGTTCATGCCTCCGAACGTTACACCACTTATTCAGCCAATGGATCAGAATGTGCTTAGGCTTACCAAGCTTTTCTATAGGAACAGTCTTCTTAGTTCCATTATTACTGGAAATGACACTATAGGTGAAGCCCTTAAGAAAACTACGTTAAGGGATGCAGTGATCCATTTAATGGCCGCATGGTAAAAACTAAACCCAGACATGATCTCAAAATGTTGGCGAAACATTCTTGACTTTACGGATGCATTAGATGAGGACGACTTGCCTCTATTACGCATAAGACAACAGCTAATTGAAGAACGAGCTGCCGACCCAATAAGAGACACAACAGCACTTTTAGGCGCTATAGGGCCCGTAAGTTTTGCATTTGTACATTTTTGTTTAAAAACCGGTTTTATCTAAAGTAAGCGCTAGGTCATTAACTATAGTATAAATTAATACATATTATGTAGTAATTTTTAAACGTTTTAACGGGCGGAATACACGGGCTGTAGACATTGAAGAATGGAACAAGGATTCAGTGATAGAAGAAGCGAGCCTGGAAGAAGCTGAAAATATGGATTCAAATGAGAGTGACATTGAAATCGAGGAACAGCCAATAATTACAATTAAACATAGCGAAGCAGTCCAGGTCCTTACAGTATCATTAGAATGGGCTAAACAAAACCCAATAAATTTATCGGAAAATACAACTCTAAAAAACATTCTTGAAAAAGCAGTTTTAGCTAACATTTCGGCCAAACAAACTCAGTCAAAAATAACTTCATATTTTAGAACTAATAATTAGTCTCATGTAATTTACATAGAAGCACTTGATTTTGATGTACGATTAAACGATTTTTAAAATATTAATCCGTATTTTATTATGTATTTTTACTACCTTCAATAATATGAACATACCGTTAGTATGAACAACCTAAAATTTTTTGTGTTCATATTATCGCGATTGCACTGTACTAGTAGGTACGTATATGAGTAATATAAATCACAAATTATAATGAGAACGAAAAATAATCAAACAAAAAGTTCATGAATATTTAAAAAATTAGCATTCGGTTCTAAAAATCGAATGAATCAGTATATTCCGTGTGTTACAAAATACGTATGAATATGTAAAACAAGAGAATTTTTAAATGATATACAGGACGTCCCCGATAGTGTATACAGGGTACCGCAAAAGTGCGTCGCACATTTGTAGCTCCTTTAATAAAAAACTTATTTAGATTTTGTTTAAGCGCTAACCTCAAGTATGCCCTAGGATGTATTTCAGAACAATGGAACACCCTGTATATTATTGCATTTTTGGCTTCCTTTCTGTATAATACTGTAATCACTTTACATAATCCTAAAATATTATTAAATATGTTTTGATAGTTCCAGAAATAAAAAAAAATAAAATTATATTTTTGAGCCTTTCTTAAAAAATTATTAATAATACAAGAAATGTCCTGAAATCAAAACTATACTTTGCTATAAATATCGCAATTTTAAATCATACAGGGTGTTCAAAAACCTAAGCCAAACTTTCTAAAATATAAAATTTTTCTTAGAATGTTTAAATGGAACACCTTGTATATTATTTTTTTGTTTGATGGGGAATTAAATAATGAACATTTTTTGTATTTAAAGTATTTCAAAATTTTAAACGGTTTTGTAGATATTCAAAGTATTATATTACATATAGCTTTTTCAACAGTAAATTTTTCTCAAAGCTATCTAATGATTTTTGTCTGGTATATTACCATTGAAAGATTCATATTATATTATATAATAATACAGCATATATCAGCAAAACTGTTAAAAAAATTTAAAATACTTTATATTTATACAAAAAATGTTCTTTTTGTAATTCTCCATTTAACAAAAAATATATTATTTTCTGTGTTCCATTTAAACGAAGAACTAACAAACAACCAATGCACTTTTTTATAAATTAATAATTGGGACACCTTGTATACAGTGTAAGTCAAAACTAGATGTTAATTTTTCTCCGCTATTTCAAATAGAACACCCTGTATTTTATTATATAAATCAAAGTAATTTTAACACTATTAACTTCACAATTAATTAAATTTAAGTAATTAATATCAACTCCATTTTTGTGAGAGACAGGTATGTCACATTTAATGATAAACACATACTAGCAAAAAAAATTAAAGATCCTAATCAAATTTTACTTTCAAAAAACCTAAATTTTCTCTATTTTTGGGTATAGAAAGTTATTGATATTACCCTGTATATAAGAACTTTGCAAACTTAATACCATCCAAATAGCAATAATTTAACACAATATCTGTATCTCTATGACTTCATTATGAACAGAATAAAATAAAATTGAGAACATTGTGGTTAGCTCTAAAAATCATACGATTTTAATCATTTATAAGCTTAAATAATATCCATTTATTGCAGATGATACTCAAAAAACTGGAAGTTTTATGATATTTTAAGAATAACGTTCTTTTAACTTAGATTTAACATCTTAAGTTGGTGTTATCATAGTGGCATTTAAATTCTGTTCGAACCTCTTTCTAGGCTATAAATTTTGGGTATAGGACTATGAAAATTAAGAAATCATAGATGCTTAATTGTGACTTACCTTTAAAAGTATTCCTTGATTTCCTGCAACTGATACAAAGACCCATAAAAAACTCAACGAGTCCCAGAAACTGCGAGACCCTCGGTATTTCGTCGGTACCATGAACAAACTCGATACCGAAATTTGATTGATCAATTGGCGAGGACAAACGAAAAAACTAAAAGATAAATAATAAGATGAATTGGCACTGAATCTCCAAAAACTAGCAAAAATTTTACACTAAAGACGAAATCCCTTGCTACTGGCGTGCAGTGATGAAAAGGATCACATTTTTCGCAGCGGTTCCACTACTGAATCGGTCCGCACATTTGGCAAACTGAATCGCGGTACTCTGGTCGGTACTGGTCAAGTTTCACGAAGTATTACCATCGTACTTTTTCAGAGAAAATTCGATTTTTCTAAAGAGTCTTTCAGTCTTTGTCTTTTTTAGCTGAAGAAAACGAACCTTCACATTTTCTGTCAAATCTCGTCGCAGTCTGGGCAACCTTGAAATTTACAGATTCCTACCGTACCGGCATGTATGTCATCGATTACTACTGTTCCGCGAATTTCAAGTCCAATTCCTGGAAATTAATTTATGCAATTGATTTTACTGTTTTATTCGGTGAAAACTATCGCAATTTTACGTTAGAGTATGAATAAAAGGTTCTCTTGCTTAAAGCAAGGGGAAAAAAGTTTTTACATGGTGGTTTTCGCTTTTTATAGCATCGATAAAAAGCGCTATTGTCTTTGTGTAAATATTTGTAAAAGTAATTACATTTTTATGTCGTTCTGAAAAGCAACATTTTTCTAGACTGCGTGGCAACATAAAAGTTTATTTTATAGTTTTTGTATTAGTATATTTTAAAAGGAAAGGAATTTATTATGCAATGAAAAAATTATATTACTGTATATGAATATCTCAACTGATTCAAGGATTTTTAATAGCATATCTGAATGAATAAAGTACCATTAATTAGGAGTAATTTTTGTTTTATATAAAAGTAATATTATTGTGTTAATTTTAAAACTGTAAAACAACTATAATTTGTAATTTATATAATATTCTTTTTTTAGAGAAGTTGTAGGCAACCAACAATTCACATATTGCGTATACTTGGTTGCATAACATTTATTCTATAAAATACCGTCGCAGTAGCCTGTTAAATAATATTCAAAAATAATTTCTATCAAACAAGATCGAACATCATAATTCTATATGTCAATATTTGTAATAAATGATAAAAAATTGTCAAAAATTGATGTTTTTACACAAAACAGTATCTATTTTCGAAAAATATTTTCTAATAAATTCAAAACCTTCCTGTAAATAATAACAGGCTATCTGAATTTTTATTATTTTTGTCTCATTTAAATAGAAATTGTTGACAAGAATTTGTGTAAACTTTTAGTAAACGATATATAAAGAACGACCAGATAGAAATTATCATCGATTAATTTTTCAAAGGCTACTATGATACCGTTTTCTTTTTTCCGAATAAGGCGGGCAACTAGCATTTATAATAAAAGGTATTTCTAGTTGCATACAAGTCGCTAATTTATATTAAATAAATGACATATAGAGGTAGACACGACGGAAATTATCATAGATTATCGTTTCAGATGCTACTATAACGCCATTTTTTTCTTTTTGAATGCATAACACTTAAATAAAAGTTTTTCGACAAGTTTTTATGTGAATTTAAAATAAATAAATGATGTATAGAGGGAAACACGACGGAAATTATGGATTTTTATTTCCAAAGCTACTACGACATAGTTTCTTTTTCTCTCAATCGCATAACGCTTAAATACAAATCAAAGGTAATTAATACAAATTTTTTGACAAGTTTTCAGTTAATTTAGAATAAATAAATGACGTATAGAGGTGGACACGACGGAAATTGTCATGGATTCTCGTTTCACAAACTACTACGACGTCGTTTTTTCTTCTCGATCAAATAACGTTTAAACAAAAATCTACGATAATTAAATTTATAATAAATAAATGACGCATATAGATGGAATCAACGAAAATGATCATAGATTTTCGTTTCAAATGCTACTATAAAGTTGTTTTTATTTCTTCTCGATCGCTTAACGCTTAAATAAAGTCTAGTCTAAGATAATTAATGTATTTTTCTGACAAATTTTTATGTCAATTTAGAGGGAGACACGACGAAAATTATAATTTCAAAGCCTATTATGACGCCGTTTTTTTTTCAACCCATTGTGACGTGGCATGACGCTTAAATTAGTCAAAAATATCTCATAAATTTATATTATTTATCAAAATAATTAATTCATATTACTTGACAATCTAACCTAACTAAACGACGGAAATTTTCATAGATTTTCGTTGCAAGTGCTACTATAAATCCATTTTTTTTAATAATTTCTAAATAAAAATCCTAGATAATTAATGCTTGCGCTTGTCGAGAATATGCGACAAGTTTTTATATCAATTTGCAATGAATAAATGACGTGTAGAGGGAAACACGACAAAAATTATTATTGATTTTCATTTTCAAAGCTACTACGACACCGTTTTTTTTTCCTCGATCGCATAACGCTTATAAATACAAATCATGGATAATAAATACATAGTTTTTGATAAGTTTTCAGTCAATTTATAAAACACAGATGACGAATAGAAGTAAAAATGACGGAAATTATCATCTAGTCTTGTTTTAAAAGCTACTATGCCGCCGGTTTTCTCTTCTCTATCGCATAAGGCTTAAATGAAAGTGAAACATAATTAATATATATTTTTTGACAAATTTTCAGTCAATTTATAATGAATAAATTACGTATAGAGGTTAACACGACGGAAATTATCATTTCACAACCTAGTATGACGTCGTTTTTTTTTTCTCTCAATCGCATGACGCTTAAATAAAAGTCGAAAATATATCGAAAACTTATATTATTTATCAATCCACATAAGATAATTTCGGATCATCTCTTTAACAATACTTTTTAAAAATATAACTACTTAATCTTAAAGGAAAATGAAAAAAAAAACAGTTTTTCGCAACTTTTTCGAATTTCCTTTTGGACGTGGACACTTCGGCGACCTCACAGCCCTCACTCGAAGTCCTCTAAGTTTTGTAATTGGAACACTTTTCGAACAGGGAACTCAGTTCGGAACATTTGCTGCTGTAAGCTTTGAGATTATTGAAAACCGGCTCCAATACTATAAACCACGCCTGCTAATCTAGCTCTATTCGCGACTGAGTCGTGAGCGAACCGCACTGGATTTTACTCTCGCGCATGCTTCCAAAGGACAACTTCAGGTCGTCCATCATGATCGGCCTCAAAGCGTCATGGAAATTGTCATCTTCCCCGTTCGAGCCTAGTCTCCTGTTTAACGATTGCTGTACGTAGCCTCTCAATCGAGAAACTGCGGCGATACGACACAATTCTTTCAAGTCCGAACCTGAGAAACCTTCGGTGCTCATGGCTATGCTTTCTACGTCCACGTCTGGGGCTACTGGTTCGTTTTCGAGAATCAGGCTTAGGATTTGTCTTCTTTGGGCTACGTTGGGCATGGCAACGTGGAAAGTAGCTGGCATACGGCGAAGAATAGCCCTATCCAAGTCCTACAACAAAGAAACAATAAGTACCGGGTGGCCAACTAAGAATGGACGCCGGCTGTATCTCAGAAACTACTTATCGTATAACTTTGGGAAAAACATTCTGATAGGTAAATCGACCAAGAGAAATCGCTGGAAATTATTTTCAAGCTCGACAAATGTCCGCTAGGGAGCGTTTCTCTGAAAGCCAATCAAAAAACAGGGTTTTTCTCAAAAATATGCAGGTGAACAGGTATTTTAAATATTACTATTATAATCATCGAGAAATTTGTAATTTTTTTGATATAAAGTGTTTTAGCCAATTAAGCCGAGAGCTAATTACTCCGAACCAATGGGCACTTACCCTAGTATCCTACAGGCAGAAATCTACGCTATCGAGAGATGCGTACAACTTATCTTAGATAGGAACTATCGGAAACAAGAAATAGCCATCTTATCTGATAGTCAAGCAGCGTTAAAGGCGATCAACTCAGTATCAATCAATTCAGCGCCCTCTAACTACCACGAAAAAAATTATAGAAACAAAATGTATACTGAAGATCATTAAGGAAGAAAAGCTCTTTTAAACGAGCACTAGTTTGTTTAAATCGGTTAACCCAAACCAGAGTTATCCTTATTTTAATAAAAGCAAGTTTAACCTCCCCTCACCACTTTATTTTATGAGTTAGAGCAAAACACTCTATATCAAAAAAATTACAAATTTCTCGATGATTACAATAGTAATATTTAAAATACCTGTTCACCTGCATATTTTTGAGAAAACCCCTGTTTTCTGATTGGCTATCAGAGAAACGCCCCCTAGCGGACATTTTTCGAACTTGAAAATAATTTCCAGCGATTTTTCTTGGTCGATTTACCTATTAGAATGTTTTTCCCAAAGTTATACGATAAGTAGTTTCTGAGATATAGCCGGCGTGCATTCTTAGTTGGCCACCCGGTACCTACATATACAGGGTTGTTCATCCCATACGACACGGAGTATTGTAGCTAAACGATTAGATTTTCACAAATTGTAAGTTTTAGGTTCCTTGAAGGATTATTAGAGCTACAATTTAAAAATAATTTTACAAAATACAGAGCGTCCCAAATAAATAAAAAATATCAAAGTTGTATTTTTTTAAATGGAACACCCCGTATATTATTACATTTTTAGTTTCTACCATAGAATAACTAACTGAAAGAAATGAAAACTCCTATGTTAAAGCCTGGAAACACGCGCTCGACGCGATCCAAGCGGGCTACTGGCAGAACTAAAAGTTCGCGCCATATTTTTAAATGGACCTTTACTGCCAGTTCATAAGTTTTTTACTTATATTTGGTAATTTCAATCTAGATTATGAACTTATTTGTAACAAAACATTTTACAAAATAAAAATAATGTATTTTGATACAAATAAATTAATAATCTAGGTTGAAATTAGAAGAAAACACGAAAAATTTGTAACTTGATTATTTTATTATAACATTGTTAATAAAATTACATATAACACATTCAACACTATACAAGTATATATAAAAGTTATCAGAATTTATACAATCAGTTATAAGTAATTATAAAAAAGGTTATAAATGATAAATAAATAATTCATTATATAAAAGACATATAGTTACCGTGAATATAATTTGGTATAACTTTAATCTCAACTTTAATGACCTATTCAAATAGAAACATCTTACAATTCACATTATATAATACACAAAGCCAAGGGACAAAATTGTTATTAAATCTATTCTCGATGACTCGAAGCATTTTTTTTTCAAATAAAACAGGACATATAGGGCTTATAAATAATACAAGGGTATAGAAAATATATAAATAAGTAAATACAAATATATTTTCAACCTAATGATTAATGATTATACTCGTTTAAATAAATAAATGATCTTTTTAAAATTACTTGTTTGTCTTTGCAAATTTGTATATTTAATATTTATCTAAAAGCGTACACTTACATAAATTACTGCACAACCTTTAAAATTAAGCTTTTAATATGTTATACAAATTCTTGATTCGATATAAATACACTTAAATAAAACTTTAAAATTAATGATCTTCCAAATTTCTGAGACAGCCATTTTGTTGAAAGAATTTGTTTTGATTATGAGAAATTTCATAAAAATTATCACAGGGATTAATTAATCTTATATATGAAACTACTTGGCTTTTAAATTTCACAATCCTATCGTCCAAAATACTCTAAATTCGCAAAAATCCGTAAATATTCCCATAAAAACAAATCACAATTCACTTCCACTTCACAGAAACTGACAGACATTGCCAGATATGGAATGACGTTTATTTTTCAATTTATTTTACTGATCTAACTGATCCGGGTCACTTAGAAATTAAATTTTTATTAAATTATTTAATTATAATTGTTTCTGGCGAAAGCAACTTCATATCAATGTTTATTCATAGGGTAACAAAGCACATCGCTGTAAAATTATCAACATTTTATATAAATATTTATATTTTTCAACTACTCCAACTACTCCAATTACTCCACAGAGAATCAAACGAATTGTTGATTAAACTATACTCTGTGGATGACTTGATAAAATCATGATGAAATTAAAGTCCCTAGATGAATATCTAGGGACTTTAGATGAAATTTCTACGCAGCGCCATCTATCCCTCTACTGGCAGAAACTCCGCCGTGTTTCCAAAATTCAAATGGCAGTTTCATCCGCCTGGTTTCTACTATTAAAATAAAGGTACGTTTGATTAAGGTTTACCGCATTTTAATCTTACACTTTTTGAAATATTTAGGTTTTTGTCAAAATACAGTAATAATTTTAATGCTTCATTTCTCTAGGCTTATTTAAGTTTTTAAAACCAAATATTGTACTGAAGTATTTCTATTTACTAAATTTTGTGGTGCAATAGTAAAAATTATATTACGTTATACAGAGTGTCTAAAAATGTATTTTAAATAATTACTAGCTTTAAACGGCAATAACTTGTTTAATTTAAATGGAACACCCTGTATATTTTATGAGAATCAAATGCACAATTTAATTGTCTATCAAATTGTATTAAACCATTTTTTACCTATCTCTTCAAGTTTTCGTAGAAAGTGCATTTTCTTATAATTGAGACCTCATTTATCAATATACCCATGGAATATTGACATTTTAGATTATTTTTTAAGTTGTAACAAATTTTGGTTAAGTTGTAAAAGTAGTCCTAGTTCCTACCGTCCGTTTAAACATACACCTACTATCTTCAAATCTTTTATCTAAAATAAAAATATTTATAAGAAAAAAGTGTTTCAAATAGCTTATCTAAAACGCCTCTAAATTTTTATAAGGAAAAATGAAAATAAAAGTTTCAGTAATATCTGGGTTAATATGATTCCAGTATTCAAACTACATTAACTGACTATTTGCGTTGATTAATAATATAATAATTGCCCCAAATACTACAAAACTGAATTTTGTATGTGTATGTATTTTTTATTTTATTTGTATTTTAAAATTTTGATCATCTCACACACTGGTCAAAGGTCAAGTGTTTGATATTCTGTAGCTTTGGAATTATATCTATTTACTGCGTACTGTTCTAAAATTGTCCATGTATGTTCTTTTTGTAATTTTAAGGACTTAGATTTTTTTGAATTGTATTATTTGTATTGTGTATTTTTTGTTGTTTGTGTTTTTTTGTGATTTTGTTGCTTGTGAGTGCTTTGTCGATGAAGCTGTTTTGGCTTTTTGCACAATAAAGCGTTGTTTGTTGTTGTTTGTTGTTATTAGACTGTAGTAAAAAGTAACACCTGATTGATTTCATTTTTTGACAAATGCTTATTTTTATTATTATATTAATTTCTGATTCAAATCCACATTTATTTAGAATCATTTATTCAACACAATTAAGTATGTAATTAATATTTGGGCGGTAATAATGGTGGAATATTTAATTATTGGTATATTCTTAATTAAGATTTAAATAGTATTTTTTTGTATACAAATGGGCTAGTAATATTATCGTTTTTAGCACCTGTACATTTGGTGCATTTGTCGCTTTAAAAACAATCTAAAATGGTCTAAATTATTAGAAAATGCAATTTCTACGAAAACTTGAAGGGATAGGGAAAAAATGGTATAATACAATTTGATAGGCAATTAAATTGTGCATCCGATTCTCCTAAAATATACAGGGTATTCCATTTAAATTAAACAAGTTATGGCCGTTTAAAGCCAGAAATTATTTTAAATAAATTTTTATACAGTCTGTATGAGGTAGTATTATTTTTATTATTGCAACAAAATATCTGAACAATAAATAAACTTCAGTAAATATTTAGTATTAAAAACTTTGATACCCTTGGAGAAATGAAGCTTTAAAATTTTCACTGCAATTTCACAAAATTGAAAATATTTCAAAAACGGTAAGGTTTAAGTGTGATAAACCTTAATCTAATTTACCTTTATTTTAATCAGAGAAACTAAAAATGTAATAATATACAAGGTGTTCCATTTAAAAAAATACAACTTTGATATTTTTTATTTATTTGGGACACTCTGTATCTTGTAAAAATAAAAATATTTCTAAATTGTAGTTCTCATGGTCCTTCAACGAACACAAAACTTACTGATAAACCAGAATTTAAGTCAGCTATATTAGGTCCCCATATCACTCCACATGAGTTTTCGATATCAAAGTAAAAAACTCAATAAAAAAAACAATTTACAACTTTTAAACACCGTATATACAAAACCTTACCTGCGGTCTGTTAGTCGCTCCCATAACCATCACTGTACAATTCGGATCAGTAATCAGTCCATCCCACAACGACATAAACTGTGCCTTCATCATAGCAGTAGCCTCATGATCCGTACTATTCCTTGCACGTAAAAATGAATCAATCTCATCGATAAAAATGATACAAGGCTGTAATTTTACAGCTAAGGAAAAGACAGCAGATGCTAACTTTTGACTCTCCCCGTACCATTTATCGGTCAAAATTGATACGTCCAAGTTGATGAAGAATGTTCCAGCTTCACGAGCTGTGGCTTTGGCAATGAGGGTCTTGCCACAGCCTGGAGGACCATGTAAAAGTACACCTTAAATAGAGATTATTTGAATTTACTATAAACTAACTAAATAAAAAAAAATTACCTTTAGGGGCTCTGGTTAGTAGAGAATCAGCAAAAAGATCTTTATGCTGAATCGGTAGGATTACAGTTTCTCTCAGTTCTTGTATAAGGTCTTCCAGTCCAGCAATATCATCCCAAGTTATATCAATGTCTTTAGGGTTTACAATATGGGCAGCTATCATCAATTCGTAATCACTCAAGTTTTCGACAGCTATCTTATTTTTTGCGAAATCCATTCTAAAAGAAATAGTTGACAGAGATAGTAAAGAGTATTATACGGGTATATAAGTCTCGTCCCCCATATACAGACTTCTATGGCGTATAGTTATGCTTGTGCAACATTTAACGAAACGAGGTTGATACCTTTTTAGTTGGTTTACTGCAGCTTCCTTGGCTTTTTTCTTGCTCTTGTTCGTGGGATCCAAATGGTTCATGAGCCATTTTACGCTCCAAAAGGTGGCTAGAGAAACGACGGTTAACCTAAGAACAAAGGAGATTGTTTCGCCCTTTGGTTGGTTCATCATGATGGGAACCGATTATGGTTCTTCAAAGAGGAAAATTATCTGGTTCTGAACGTAAATACCGGTATATTATCGAGAATTTCTGCTATAAAAAAATATTACTTCACATTAATCTACCATTGACATTTACGAAAAAGACGGAAATAAAGCTTAATTTACATAATTTAAAAAATATGTCAAAATGTTAAATAACCATGATCTATGGCCATAAAAAATAAATATTTTTGCAAATTTTTGACTGTTTTATGTGCTAATAATATTAAAATAATTAAATATATACAGAGAGAATATAAATAAGATGCTTCAAACATAATATTAACTTGTTATAACAGAAAAGAATGTAAAAAAATATAATTACGTAAAGCTAGTGTGAACAGGACTGATCTTTAGGGGATTTTTTGAAAAATCCTATAAAATTAAAAAAGCTGTATTAATTTGAAAAACTATACAGAAAAACAAAATATTTTTCAAATATTACAATTTATAAGCTATAATAACCGGTAATATGCTGTTTTATTAATAATAACTAATTTGATTGAATTAAATTTGTGTATTACTGGTTGCCTATTAAACCAATCTTTTATTGATTATTTTCAGGTAAATGAATACTAAATAACATCTTCAACTCATTTGCAGATATATCATTAGAAATTCTATAAACTAAGATAAGTATGATTGCAAAATTACCTAGATATTTTGATGAAATAAACTAAAAATATTAGAGATTTTTTAGTGCCCTCTGTCGGCCATATTGAGCGCATGTCAAGTAAGCGCTCGTGCAAAAATTCGGCAAAATGCCAAAGTCAGTCGCTGACTCTCGTGTGGTAATGTGCTATACGTGAAATTTTTCGGTTTATTTCATGTTTTGTGTTAAAAAGTAACTCGTTTTTGTGTGCACGAAACCGCAGTGATCATTTTCCGACTGACCTTTCCTTTATTAAACCCGTAAGTAGCCTTTTATTTCCGTTTTTACCTTTCCAACGTAGCGCCGAGCAACGAACACTGTCTAAAAAATCGATTAAAATATCCGCGACATTTTTGCCGAATGTGCCCGGTTTTGCTGATAGTTATGCGACATTTATATATTTCCATTTTTTCGTCGTCAAATAGTTGTTAGAAAGGCAATTTTATCGATTTTGGTGCAAGTAATTGGAAAACAAATGAAATCGAGTAGGCGACTGTCATCTGCGGTAATTTTTTATAGGTTATGTAGAATTTTACATTTTTATATTTATTTTTCAGTAAAAATAACGTAAAATTTAAAAAAAATCCTTAAATAAATACAACGTTTAATCGATTTAATTGTTTATACGTTTGTTTATAACGAAAAACAGGTTGCAGCAACGTAATTTGTAGAATTCTGTTCACACCTACTTTTTTGAAGGTAAATTATTATTATTTACTTTTATATAACACCAAAAGTGATTTGTATGTGATGAAAAAGGTTCCCTTAAGTGATTTTCTATGTGAACGAAGAGGAACAGAAGGAACAGGTTGTGAAAAGTGGATTTAAAAAAGTCACGTCATAATTTGATGAATCATGAAATAATAACATTGCAGGTGGATAGAGTAAGGTACTTAGTGAATAAGTTTTTTTAATAATCCCTACAAAGTAATTTTTAATTTTACATACATAGTTGAAATAAAATACCTGGCATCTCCTAGAGGAAAAAAAAACTGGGCTTTAAATAAAGCCTATCTGTACAGGGTGTCCCATTTTCATGTGTTTTATTGGGTTTCTCGTTTATGAGTTTTTTCACACTACTGTGCTATTTTTTTATGAAACTAAAGATGCTTCACATATATAAATATTTGTCCTAGCCCCTTTGGTTTCTGATATACAGGGTGAAGTTGAAAATGTTGCATTTTTCGACCCATTTCATATCTTGATTATCTTATAACAAATCGAAAAGGTAAAAACTGAGTCTCATAAAGTATTTTACGTAGAAACCAGTGGCGTAACTAGTTTTTCACCGGGAGCTGTCATTTTCGAAATATTTTCAAAATTTTTTCCGAAATTTTGGTTCAAAATTATGTTTTTTAAGTTGTACACCCTGTATATAATGTTTTTATTTGATTTGTCTTGTGAGCTCTCTAAAAATATAATATATTCTATACCTGTTCTCATAAACAAGGTAAAAATTACGTTAAGTTATAGATCAAAGTTGTGTTTTTTTCTAATGGAACACCCTATATATTTATTTATTTTCGGATTCTAGGAAAAAATAAAGGTGAGTTTTATTAAAGCATATACCTAAAATCTAAGGTGTTTGACATATTTCACATTTTGTGAAAATGAAGAGTAAATTTTAAATTTCGATAACAGCTACCTAAATTTTAGTTCACTTTGTATAGCCTGATATTTCATTACAGTAACCATTGTATGTTAAACCAAATTGAAATTTGACCCGAAAAATTATACAGGGTGAGACCAAATTAATATGGAACATTATTCACTTTTAAAAATAAGTTACTCCTTTATTTTAAATGGAATAGCCAGTATATTTTTCCGGTGTTCAATGGGGAATTTATATATCTTGAAAATATTATTAAGGTTGCCTAATACACACCTAATACCAGAAGTTATATAAAATAGATGTGAACACCTTTAAAAAACCGTACTATAAAACCTTTAGTAACAAGAACCTCTAGTTTTATAAGGAAAGTGATAAACAACATTTTAAGGTTACTATTAGTGATAAGTGACCAACGCTACACTTTTATATATATCAAAACACTGTAAGATACCAATGAGACATTTATTAAACCTTTATATAACTAACCTTGAGGATATATAACCTAAAGGAACTTAAAATGTTACTTGGGAAAGGTGACCAATGTTCAATATTAATTTTGTCTCACCCTGTATAACTTTTTGGATCAAGTTTTAATTTGATTTAAAGTACAATAGTTAATTTAACTACATATTAGGCTATACCGGGTATATTCCAATTTAGGTAGCTTTTATTGTAATTTAAAAATTGTTCTTTTTTATTTTTAGAAAATGATAAATATGTCAAAAATCTTACATTTTGGTCGTATAACATACTGTTATAAAATTCATCTTTATTTTACTCCCAGTATCCGAAAATCAATTAATATATAGGGTGTTCCATTAGAAAAAACACAACTTTGATATGTAACTTTTTTTGGGGACGCCCTGTAGAACTCTCTATATTTTTAAAAAGTGCTCTAAATTAACCTACATATGCTCAGAAAATTTTATTTCAATACAAACTGTCGTTCTCCTTGGAAACTCCGCGGCGTATGGGAGTTTTCCGCGGCTTTTTATGCATTTTGTGTGTTTTACAAAATGAAAAATCGTGAAAAACTAAAGCTTAGTGATTTTGAAATGAACTTCATATCCGGATAATCCTAAAAACATTGTAGAGCTACCTTTTCCGCATATTTTATAGGTTTTTCAGTATTCCTAGCACGTAGCCCAATTCACTTACACAGAAGCGGATTTTTTTATTCAATGCTTTAGGTTTGTTCTTTGTTGATATAAAATGGCATACAAAAAGTGTCGATTATACAAGGCGTTCTTTAATGACGTTCTAATATTTAAGGGACCTTTCTTGGGCTGATTTTAAGAAAAAATTGGTCAATTGCTTGGTCAATTGCAAGTCGGACTCGCGCACGAAGGGTTTCGTACCATTCATTATCTGTACAACATTAGACACTATCTATACTAATATTTAATATAATATATATACAGGGTGTTTCAAAACAAATGCGAAAAACTTCAGGGGGCGATTCCTTGTTCAAAATAAAGGGTAGTTTGCTTCATAAACGTTGGGTCAAAAGTAGCGATGGGAACTATCGAATGAATTAGACTATCGAATGGTTAATGAATGAATGATTTCAACTATCGAATGGTTTTATTCGAATAAAATCATTCATTCATTTGTATACTAAAGCATATGTGACAACCTCGCCGTGCGACTAAATGGTTATCGTTGAGCCACGACTATCGAATGCTTTTGATAAATGAAATTTAGTATTCGTTTGATTTTGTATGCGTCAGTGGCATTATTAGTTTTTCCAAATTTTTATAACTTCGCCGTATAAATACTGTGCTATTTTTGCGTTTATTAAAATAGTTAAAATACTAAAATAGTAGTTATCTTTTAATTTTATTTATTGACGATTGTGTGCATGTGCAGGTGGTCAAAATTTTTCCGAAAATTTGTGTGGTTTTCCGTAGTCCGATCTTTCAATTATTTAATTTTATATGGCATATGGTCTATTTTTTAATGGGAAATTTTGAGAAGTAGCAATTTTTAAGAGAGATGAGATGAACTTACAATTAATTTTAAAAATACATATTTGTATGTTAGATGTTTTAATAATATGAATTAGTTGAACTTAATAATCATATTTAAGTAATGTGGTTGTCTAATCATATTTAAGTAAATGGTTATCGAACTCAAGCTATGGGGTGAGAAAATTAAAATGAAAGTTTTACACGTGCCAATTTAAAAAAAAAGTTAACGATGATTATTAGAAATACCATAATGTATCAATATTTTTTTTTTGTAAAATTACTTATATTTTTTTCAGTGTATGTTTACTATACTTTCTCTATTCTCTGAGACTACACTGTATTCCAAAACATTTGACTGACATTTTTGGATATACCCTGTTAAAATTTTCAAGATTTTTTTGGGGCATTTCACTCACATAATAAAATCATCCCCTCTCGACAGTATCGTCCCTTCTCAAATTGTAGGGTTAATATTAATGATCCCAGTGCCACAGTAATCCATCAAAAAACCCTGGAAAATGCCTAGCAAAATTGTGTATTTTTCAAACCAGTAAAAATAAAATTTCTTATAAATAAGTTAATACATACATATACATACAGTGGTGGCCAAAAGTATGGAAACTTTTTACTTTTTAAAATATCACAGAAAATATTGCTATGCTTAAACTCTCAGGAATATAAATGAACAGCTTATCAGCAAATAAAAGTATTCCAAAAATTACACAGCGAAAAAAATCTGTTTAGCAGTTTTTGTAGGAGAACAATAGATTTCTTGTGGCCAAAAGTATGGAAACCATAAATAAATACATTAAAATTATTTAGTTTAAGCTGATAAACGGTACGATTTGCTTCAGATAAATATAAACATCATGCGCAAGTCTAAATATTTCTCTACGGATTTAAAAATAAAATAGTAGAATTATACAAGAGCGGTTATAAACAAATTCAAATAAGTAAAAGTTTAAACATTTTAAAAGGCACCGTTTCGAAAATAATTCGTAAATTTAATAAAACGGGGAACGTTTCAGCAGCTTTTAAGTCAGGAAGACCAAAGAAAGTTGTGCAACAGGACAATGAAAGTAATGAAGAGAATATCAATGGGAGATCCAAGAAAAACATCCACAGACATTTCTCGAGAAATGGGTGAAAGGGAATATCGGTGTCTGCACGCACGGTGAGAAGAAGGTTGGATGACATGGGACTTTTTGGAAGAGTTGCGGTGAAGAAACCACTAATATCAAAGAAAAATAGGATGGCCCGCTTTAAATTTGCTCAAGATCATCTCACCTGGTCTTATCAGAAATGGAATACTGTACTGTTTAGCGACGAAAGCAAGTTTCAACTGTTTGGTAGTGACGGGAGACCTTATGTCCGAAGACCAAAAGGTACACGGTACAGCCATAAGTACCAGATGCCCACAGTAAAACATGGGGTGGGAGTATAATGGTATGGGGGTGTTTTTCTCGCTCAGGTGTTGGTCCTCTTGTTAAAATTGAAGGGATAATGGACCGTTTTTTGTACAAAGACATATTGGAGAATAATATGCTGCCTCATGCTGATGAAGAAATGCCACTCAGATGGTTGTTCCAGCAAGACAATGATCCCAAGCACAAATTTCGGTTTGTTCAAAATTGGTTAAATGAACATAATGTTCCACTAATGGATTGGCCCTCACAGT